AATAAATTTTCAAATTTATTTTTATTAAAAAATCATAATATTGAAATTATTTGAACAATTATTGTTCTCTTAATTATTTGTTTTCTTCCATTCAAAATTTTATATTTAATTGATGAAATTATTAATCCATTTTTTTGCAATTAAATCAATTGTCATCAATGATATTGATCATATGAGTATCCTGAATTTAATAATATTGAATTTGATTCTTATATATTAAATCATAAAAACTTAAATCAATTTCGATTATTAGAAACTGATAATCTAATAATTATTCCAATAAGAATTCCATTATGATTAATTACTTCTTCAACAGATATTATTCATTCATTAACTATCCCATCATTAGGAATTAAAGTTGATGCAGTTCCAGGTCGAATTAATCAATTAAATTTAATTAGAAAACGATCAGAAATTTTCTTTGGTCAATGTTCTGAAATCTTCTCTGAAAAAGTAGCAACACTTTCAATTCCCTTAATTTTCAATTTCACTACAATATTTATCAATTTACAAAAAAAAAAAACCAAACTAAATTATAAATTTATCTACACAATGACAACAAACAATTCTTTTAATTATAAAACACTGTCAAAATTTTCTTCGCAATTTGTTTGCAGACTAAAAAAAGGGGGGAAAAAAGAAGGAATAGAAATGTCACTGGTCAACTTTACCTTGCCGTATCAATCGGCGACGCCTACACCGTTCTTCTACGACGGGCAAAACGGAGGGCAATCGACGGTGAACAACCTTCGCCTCAACGCCGTGCTTCCCCCCGCGCCAGCCCCAAATTTCAACGAGCAGGAACCGTTCCAAAACGAGCCCTACATACCGCCGATCGGTTATCAAAACCAGCAACAGCAAAGGCAACGCCAATCGACGTTCAATCGACAAAGGAACGGGAATCCGTACGTCGAGCATTCCTCCTTTTCCTCGACTCAGGACACGAGATACGCGAACTACAATCAAGATTTCAGGAGGACGCAGCCGAGGCAACAGATAAGACCTAGCGCACCGCCATTGGCGCAACAGCAACAGCAACAGCAACGAGCAACTGTGGAAAAGGAGCAAGAGAACTTCAGAACGTCGAGAATGCCGGAACAAGAAAGCTATCCTGACAGACCTAATGGGTAATTTTGTTGTATCTGTATTTTGATTTTGTTTTTTACTTTGAATGTTTTTTTGTTTATTGTTGTGATTTTATCGTGTTCTAGCATTCTTTTCATTTCATGAAAGTGATTATCAGCTTATTTTAGAGGAAGAAATATAGAATTTGGAAAATTTCTAAAAAATTTCCATTTAATAGAAATAAGAATAATTGAAATCTCCATATCGAAGAGTTAGAAGGCCTAGAAAATTGCAATACAGTTATTAAAAATAAAATTGAATAATTCATTCAAGGTTTCACAAAAATTATCCATTTAAATAAGAATAATTGAAACGGCCATATTGAAAAATCCAATGTCTCTCAAAAATTTTTATATCTTTAAAAATAATTGAAATGGATATTGAAAATTAATATAGAAAGATTAAGTTGAATTAAACGATGAGTTAATTTGTTTATACTCTATTTCTTTACAATAATTAATTAAAGTCGAGTAATAAGCCGATATTTTCGAATCCACCATTGAAATCAGCTAAAAAACATTTCGTAGTAGTAATCTTAATTGCAATCGTAATTATTTATGTAACGATCAGTCGAACAGTTTCTTGCTGCGTGCCGTGCATTCCTAATGAATTTCTGGCCAACAACTCGACTCGTGCGAGTTACTCGACCCTCACTTTCCTCTTCTGCGGGAAATTATGTCATCGATCTCGCTTCTTTCTGTACTGTACTCCAGATATGTATTATTAATATGAACGTGTCAACCATATGAGGTATAGCGATATTTTTTTGCATCAAACTTGCTGACAATTATCGCAAAAGGATAAGATACGTTTGTCCCTTTGATTTCTGCGCCGTGTCGCAGATCGTTATACGTATTATTATCTTGATAATTTCGCAATTTCCTTCTCGAGGTATCTTTTTTGTGATTTATTTTTGTTTTTCAATATATTCAATTTTTTGAATTGTGTAATATTTATTTTATGCTTTATATTATATAGGTGATTCATCAAAATAATATTATCTTTGAAATTATTTTTAGAAATTTCAAGATTCAATGATTTAAGGATTTTAAAAATTTTAAAAATTCAAAGATCCAAGCATCAAGAGATTCAGAGATTTAAAAATTCAGAAATTAAAGAATCAAAGATCCAAGGATTACAGATTCAAAATTTAAAGATTCAAAGATTTCCATCAGTTTATCATCAAGTATTTCATAACTGAATTACTGATCTGGAAAAAAAAAATTTTGTTAAAGGTATACGAGAGTAAACGGGGAAAGTGGACCTGGTACAAAAACTTCGATTCACGCTGTTTTAGACTATGATGACGACTTCGAGGATTACTACGACGACAAAGATCCAGAGATACCAAGGGATGCGCACGTCACGCCCATTCAAGGCCCAATTTTTTTAAAGAACGGCTCGGTCCCCGTAGTGCCACTGTATTCTTATCCTCAACTAAACAATGGTACTTACGTACAAATTCCGGTAAGTTGGTAAAAAAAAAAAAAAATATTTAATCATTATTTTCATATTTTTCACGAGAAATATTAATTTTATAATAAATATGAATACAAATTTGTAGTAATATCGAGAATCATATGACATTTCATTCGATTCTTACGAATGCTGAGTAATTGCATGACTCATAAGCTGTTAGAGCGGAAGAATTCGTTGTGAGTAGAAAGTATATGATAATTCTAATATAAATTTGTGATAATATCGAGAACTGTAACATTTCTCAATCGAATATATATTGAATAATAATGGTGTGACTCACAGGTTTTTAGAGCGGAAGAACCTCGTTGTGAGTAGAAAATATGCGATGAATGTAATATAAATTTGCAATAATATCGAGAATTGTAATATTTTTTTTTTTACCAATGCTGAATAATGATGGTGTGACTCATGGATTGTTAGAGCAGGAGATTGTGAACAGAAAATATATGATAAATATAATATAAATTTGCAATAAATATCGAGAATTGTAACAATTCTTTTTAACATTTAACATTTCTTAAATACTGAGTAACAATAGTGTGATTCAGACTGTTAGAACGGAAGAATTCGTTGTGAGTAGAAAGTATACTTACTGTTCACGCACGAATTACAGACGTGGAATATATAAGTGGATTTCGTCAAACGTAGACACATTCTGTATCAAGATACAAAAGGAACTTTCAACAAATTTGTTAGATAACCTCACAATCTCAAAATTAGGTCGCGTGTATGTCTTTTATCTTTATGACAGGTATACTTTTTCTACAATTTTTCAATAAAGATCTTGCTTCTTGCCAACTATTGTTTTAAATTGAAAATTCGCTAGTTGGAAATAAAAATACAAAGATTACAAGTAAAACAATTCGATCAATTATCCATAATTAAAAATATTTTTATATCTCGTGAGAGATATATATCTTCGGAATAATTAATATTGATAATGAAATTGAAACTTAATTGTGATTTAATTTATTATCCATATTTAATGTTTTCAAAAGAATTTTTATTTTTCACAAAAAGATTTAAATATCTTTATGATATTTCATTATTAACAATGTTGATACATTTCTTTTATATCCAAGAATATTTTAATTCTTTGAAATTCTATTCAATATAACTTAGAAATTTAATTTATTTAGATAAATATAAATTTTACCTTATTAGATTCAATCTATTCAATCTCTTCAAAAAACGATTTATTTTAATGAATTTTATATTCATTCGAATAAATGAATCTTTCTCACTTGCAATATGCGACTTAATCACTTAAAATACTATATATATATAAAAAGAATAAAAATTCATTTCTTTATTTTTTCCAAATTTCTTTGAAATTTCTCAAATGAACAAACCTATATTTACCATGAAAATGATAAAAAATTTAATCAAAGAAGGACAAAATGGACGAAACACAAATTATCGAAACATTATTACCTTTCAAAAATAAATCAATTAACCTTAACCAAGCAGTGCAAGTTTACCAATTTCAGAAATGTTTTTCATTGGCGACACGAAACACAGTATTCTCCTCACAGTTTGTTCCTTGAAAGCGTCTCGTACTTGAAATCGACTTGTTCGAGGATCGTTTGAAAGGTGATCGAACGCGGCCGTGGCTACAGGAACGTTCAAAGTCTGTATCAACTAGCGTGACATTTTCACCGGCCACCCATGACCCCGTGTATCTTCCCTAGAATCTCGCGAAGAGTCGATTGGGTGCATGCACTTACACCCGCCCATCTCCTCTCCTCATGTCTCCACTCTACCGTGCGTGTAATTCGAACGATGTAGAAAGAATCGGCGCAATGCGATACCGGCTTAAGGTCAATCGTGGTGCGCTGGCATTGAAACCATAACCTCTTGAACCCGCCGCTTCGTAGGTTATTTGAATAAATTCAATCAATGTGGTATGTTATGAGAAATTGTTAGTAATGTTGTGAATATGAAAAGTATCAAGGAAGAATCTTTGAAGGTTTGATGGAGAAGGAAAATCGATTTATGTTTTAGAAATTTGTTGAGAATGAAAGGTAGGTTTAAAAATTCGTCAAAAATTTAATAATAGTAGATAATATTAGAAGAAATTGTAGCAAGAGGATTGTTATTTTGATTGTTGTTTCAAATTTAAAAAATTGAAACCAGAATAATAAATAATGTTGAGATTTCATTGTGATAGGATTGATATTTTACAAATTCATCGAAAAATTTTTCAATACTGGGCTATAGATAGGAATATAGATTTTCATACGTGTAAATAAACTTCAAAAAATTAAAACATGGAGATCGAACGATGTGGTAATAAATAACAGTTAAAATTGAGATCAATCGATTCGATCGAGCATCGATTGTGAAATGACATAACGACGTGACAACGTAACACGACTGACAATATTGAATTACAGTTCGGAAGCGATCCGATGTCCTCGATCCAATCACTGAAAGTTAAAAATTACGATTAACCTTCCTCGCATGTTCCATCATGATTTTTGCGTCATATTTTTCGATTATTGTGCAGGCCTGCCTATTCCACTGTAATTAAGGTATTCCACTTCGTATAAGTAAATCGTTCGAATTCGATTCGAAAATACACGGTATGAAACGATATATAATTATTAAAATCTTGCTAATTTTTCACGTAAATTTATCGAATAATTATTATATAAACATTATTTTTTTTTATTTTAGTCAATGTTTTCTTCCTGTTGAACCAGCAATTTTTCTCTTAAAAAATATAAGAGATGAATCATTATTCTAAAAATTATTAAAAGGTATCTCAAAAATTATTAAAAGATAAAAAGTTTATGTACTCACGAGATATGCGAGGCATGATTCATTTCTGCCTCGCAATGCATCATATTTTCCCCTGGATACAACGGTTTGAAGTTACTCGAGTCACTGAATGACGCCTACTGATCGTTCGATGGAGACGTGAGCGTAGGATGATAATCATCGGCGGACCCGACTTCCGGTACAATCGGCAATTACAAATTCCACGAGGTACGTGGAAAATTAATCATAAAGTTGAAACAGTGAATAAGGATCGTTGACATTTCGATATTCCAAGAATTATTAAATTATCTCACTCGAAAAGTTTATTGACGAGAAATAACTTTTTAATGTACGTTCAAATTCTACAAAAAAATTTTCAATGTAGCAAAAAATAACTCAAAAATTTCATCGTCGAACGTATTTTAATTTTCCAAAATTAATTTTTTTTTTAATGGGCACTACATTGAGAATCAGAGTTATTTTCGAACAATTAGTTTCAATTTAAAATAACTCTCGAGTTTTATTTTCGAATATATATTTGTACCTTTAAAATAAATTAATTTTTGCCAATGGACGCTACGTTGAGAAAATTAAAAGTTATTCGACACAGAAAAAACAATTCTCATTTTATTTTCAAATATAAATCTTCAATTATCAACTTTCTAAAGTTATTCAACTAAAATTAATTTTTAGCAATTTGGACTTTACATTGAAAGTTACTGTTTGCAGCAAAAAATAATAATTCTCAAAAGTCTCAAAATAATAATTTTCTTTTAGTCTCAAAATTGTATTGATATCTCGACTTCAACTCTGATGTTCCACTACATTCCAAGTTCCATTGGAAGTCAAGTGTTATTCACACTTAGTTCACTGCGACACAATTGTCTCCTCCATGGAAACGTCCTTGCGATCGATCGTAGGCGTCATTATTAACTATATTTTACCTATAGTTCTACCACCATTATTCTGGAAGAATACACGAAGATGCGTAGGTCTCGTACAATCTACAAATTATATTTCTTATTATTATTCTCGTGACATTGAATTTCACGTCATCATTATTACTATTGTTTTTGAACAGATCTTAAACGCGTTGTATTTTTCTTCCAGATTCTTTGGACTGCACTTTCCGTCGCTCTGGGTGTCGAATTAAGAGGAGACTTGGTACGCGGAGTACCATGCATTAAAAAATATCATCAACTGTTCTGTCCAACTGCTGGAAACACATATCCCATGTAATTACTCTATTCTGATAGTATATTGATATTTTATAATTATTCTTGTGACTAAATTGTAGAT